ACCACCACAGAGAGGTGGAACCAGATTACCACAGCGGCCCAAGAAGTTATCCCCTGCACCCAGGACTCAAAGACGAACTCTGGAAAGATATGACATTGTCTGAATCTCAGTGGCATGAGTGTGTAGGGATGAAAGGAAAGTGTTATGTGTGCGGCACGAAGGGCCATATCATCATTCCCTTCTGTCCGCCGTGGCAGCAGTCAGCAAAAAGGAATGCCCAGAAGTTCTACTTTATACTACTTTCTCGTTGGGACAGAATGTTTCTCCCGGCTAAGTGATTTGGCATATACTAGGGGCCCGCGGCGGGGTCAGCTGTGACGTTTCGGGTTTTTGTTTCTGCTTGAGGGTTCGACAGCAGGGTTATGACCCCAATTCTTTTTGGTAACTGGGGACACTGTGTCTGTGACTGATCGGGATTTTGCACTAAGGACCTGGTACTGGTCCCGGGTATCGTCGTTCCATCTAGGTCTTGTAGGCTCAGTATATAGAAGTCCGTAGACCACCAGACTCGGTGAGCCGGCAACGAAGACTCCTGAAAAGGACTGGTGGCGACCAGCCGAAACGGTACCGTCGAGTCACGCCGAACACTGCGGCGGCAGTGTCGAGGGAATGCTGATACGTGTTATCTTATGTTTGCCCTCGTTTGCGCTCGGGAGAATCAAGGGTTTTTTTCACATCTGAGTGTGGTCTACGGCTATGAGTCGTCCCCTCCTCGTCCTTCCTCTTCTTCCTCCTTTCTTCCTTTTCCCTGTTTGTCTGAGTGGTTTGTCCACCATGGCATGGTATCTATGATATGATTACGACGACGAGTGGAAGCCCAAGACGCCGAATCCGCTTCCACCTCGCAGAATAAATGCGCAGTCCGAAGTTGGCTCGCACAACGGTTGTTCGGAGACTCCATGTTGTGGTGTCCCTAAAGTACAAAGTTTCATTTGATTGAATCAATAGAAAAAGAACAATTTGGTTCCTTTGCAAGCACATGCCACGAGTTGATCTTTCCTCGTCAAGCACATCCTGTCATGATGCAAGAGACGGGAAAGGTAATTTTAGCAAACGTAGAACGTTAGAAGTTACACACCGGTAGAGTGGAGTGCCTGGATGAGAGAATCCTATGGGAGGATGCTCATGCCACCCCCTCCAACCCTGTTAAAAAAAAGAAAAAGGAACAAGAATAGGCACACGAGTCACGACCAAAACAGTAGATAGTGGATCAACTAGAAGTAATATTTCCCACACTGGAGAAACTGCGTCAAGGAATGAGAGGGGTTTTGAAGCGCCAGTTGATTCGTAGTTTGTAAGCAGTAGTCTGATTAGCGCGGGACAATAATAGGTGGTGTGAAGTAAACCACCGGTACTTCCGAGGGACGTTTCTCCGGGGTGGGCAACGAGCGAACTGTGCAGCAAAAAAAGAGGAGCGACCATTGACCTCCATTCGGCTGGCGGCGCTGGCGATTTTGCTCCGGAGGCTGAGCCCCAAAAGTTTCCCCGAGCTAATGCCCCAGAGCAAGAACAAAGCAGGACCCAGCAAGGATACTTCCGGCTGGAGGGGGAAAAAGCGTAAGACTACAGGACGGTCACAGCGGTTATGGATAGTGAGCCAAGAAACCTACTCACGCCTGCAGCGTGAGCTCGGCAGCATTGGGGCATAATGGAGATCACCGTGCACCCGCTGATGCACCAGTACGTCTCCCAGCCGTTCTTCCCCAATGTGGCCGAGCTCGCGATGCAGGTTTCAAGGGTCGGCCGGGCCTATCGCAGCAAAATGCTTGGAGTTGGCAGCCAAAAGAAGGCCCACAGCAGTTGTCTTTTCTGGCCGTCAGGGCACTCCCAGGCTCTGCAAGGGAAGGGTCAAAAGTAACTGGGGGGTTAACCGTAAGCACGGCCTCACTGTTGCAGTTCAAGCCACGGTAAAGCCCTTAACTCACCAGTACCTTTCACCTTTTGAAATCCAAGACGCGCTGGGTATCGCGGTAGCCAAGCCGGCAAGGACCGCCGTTGACAAAATGGAATCGGCGGCCTACTCACATATTATTATTTATTATGCATCAGATTCGGCTCGGCCTCTGCAAACTGTAAGCATCTCTCATACTGGTGCAGCTCTGGCGATAGGTTCTGTCTGTGACAGTGTTCCTCCAAAAATGACGATGGATCGACCTACGTTCACCAGCATGCACCGTTGAAGTGAGGTACAGCATGCTTTATCTAAAAAAAAACACTCGTAAGAACCTTATCTCAAGGTTCGACCAGATGAGCTTAAATTCACGCCATTATTTTTATCAGTTGTATCTATAACATAACAAGGAGAAACACATCAGGGTACAAAAGCAAGACTCGAATTTACAAAGGGATCCGACTCCTCAAACTGAGAAAAAAAAAAAAAAAAAAAAAAAAGAGATACAGAATCATCATACCAGGGTCAAAGGGCATTCCCAAACTGTTAATCTTGTGGAAGTGCCGACTTAGGGTCTCGCCGCACGGCACACGAAACAAAAACGAAACGAGTGCATCGGCCCACCGAAGGTGGCAAAATCCTTACTATTTATAGCAAACGGATGAACCTGGCCATTTTCTTGGGGAAGATACATTCGTTTCGTTTTTTGTTTCCTGTCCCGTGCGGCGACGCCCTTACTCTTTCTGTCCTGATGCATGAAGTTGAGACATGAGAATCAACAAATATCTCCAAACAACAACACTAGGATCTTCTACAATGCGGGTGTCGGTATGTGCCCTGACGGACTTTTCCCACGCGCCTCGACCGTTTTTGCAGTTGGAAAACCCTGAGTCAAACCCCAGTGGTAGTAGTAGTTTCCCTCAATGGGAAACAGCGCTAGAAAGCGCCACAGGGCTCAGAGAGAAAACATGATGCTCCAAGCCCTGGATCCGTTCAGCACGCCTCACACTTGAACATGAACGGAAGAAAACGGGCCAGGAGGCTGAGGGTTGTGGTTTGCACAGAGGGTGAGAGCACAAGGGTGGAGAAAGAAGAGAGCGACATAGGCATAGAGGGAGAGAGGGGGTGGCCGGGCTGGGGCTTGTATATGCAAAAGAAACACTTCAATTCCTAGGTTTGGCCTTTAAACCACCAGTACCTTTCTCAGCTATCGCTGCCGAGCCTGAATTCAGACTGCACGCCAACACTAGAGCGAACCGACGCGCGTTCGAATTTGGCTGGCGCCTCCAGCCATTTCGCCCCGGTAATGCCGCGGCCGCCTGCCGCCCGTGTTAACCGGCAGGCATTTGCTTTTTTAAGCAGGGGAAGGTACTGGTGGTTTAAGCACACAGCTGAGATGAACATTACACTGAGTGGGGAAAATAAGAGACTCTTACAAGAGGCGCCCGAGGAGCGAGTAGAGAAATTTATGTTCGACGCCACACAACTTCCCGACTGTTGTTAAATCATAGCACAGCTCATGAACCGACACCGGGTATGTCCTTTCTGTCACTTAGTGCACAAGACTTCTTCAACCTTCAGAAACTGATGCCCACACTCATTTTATCGAGTAACATTGGCTACATGAACCCTGTCTCTTATACACATCTAGATGTGTATAAGAGACAGCCACACGACTTCCCGACTGTTGTTAAATCATAGCACAGCTTATGAACCTACACCGCGTATGTCCTTTCTGTCACTTAGTGCACAAGACTTCTTCAACCTTCAGAAAAACTGATGCCCACACTCATTTTATCGAGTAACATTGGCTACATGAACCACCCACACGTATATATGGATGCAATCCAACACGTCACCCTTCTCCACGACCAGGTCATAGTCTCGTGCTTTTTGTGTATCCGTGAAGGAAAACACCCTTCCTCCTAACATGTCGCCTTATGCCCAGAATCTCATCATCTCCAGCTTCAATAATTATCCACAGTAAAGAGGCTGTTAACTCTCCTGACAGTCTCCGCAAGAACCCCAGCTCATTGAAAAATGAAGCAATCAAGCGCTCTTCGTTGCCCACTTTTGCGATGCACCTTTCAGAAACTACTCAAAGCATTCCATCCAGCATAAGCGTGTGGAATGCGGAATGTCATTCCCGCTAACGACTTCCAAGAGCTCATAGCGACGGGTCGACTACAACCACCTACCATCGACAGTCTCGGCAAGAGCCCCAGCTAATTGAAGACATGGAGCAATCAAGCAAGCGCTCCTCTTCGCCCGCTTTCACAATGCACCTTTCGAAAACTACTCCACACATTCCATCCAGCAAAAGCGCTAGGAATGCTGTAATGGCATTCCTGCTGACGACTCCCAAGAGCTCGTATCGCCGAAGTCACCTACAACCACCTACCGTGGGCGTTTGAGGCTGCCACCGAACTTCCTTCTCACACAGCTAAACCGGCCAAAGAACTCTCTATCTATGCTTGCAAACATGCGTTACCTGAACCAACTGGGAGAGGCTGGGCCAAATCATTGCGAGAAGGCTCCCTGCTGACGGCTCCGAAGAGCTCATATCGCCGAAGTCATCTACAACCACCTACCGTGGGCGTTTGAGGCTGCCACCGAGCTTCCTTGTCACACACAGCTAAACCGGCGAAAGAACTCTCTATCTATGCCTGCAAACATAGGTTACCTGAACCAACTGGGAGAGGCTGGGCCAAATCATTGCGAGAAGGCTCTCTTTACGATGGTGTGAATCATGCCTTGTACACATGAAGAGTAGGATGATAGGATCTGTAACCTGGACCTTGTTCAACGCCAACTGGAGACGAATCGTTCCCAATCTTGCCCACAGACGGCGCAAACATTGGCTGTCGTGCCAACACAAGCGGGGGGTTAACACTGGCGGAGGAAAGACAAAGCACATCTTCTGCTCATCTTCTCCTCATCGTATGATTTGCCAATGCAGACCTGGCCGACAAAGCACATCTTCTGCTCATCGTATGATTTGCCAACGCAGACCACTTTTCCAGGAACAACATAAACTTGTCACCCTCACGGTTCTAAGCGGAGGAAAGACATGCCATGCAAGCAGCAGGCTAGTTCTTCATGCGTACACTGCTCTTCACACAATCTTAACCACGGCGGCATTGAACACTGCGATGTCCTCCAGATAGACCGCATTTGTCAATTGCAAACAATGTACGGCAAAGAAAACTCCAGACAACAGAAACCGGGGCGTTAAGCAAAGACAGGCTCTTCTCGTCTCCTCAACAAGTCGCCGCATCAGACTACTTGCCGGTAGGATTAACCATTTCGCTCCTCGACCTGCCTTTGTGAAGAAAAGGCAGACAAAAGTGAGGGGAGCTGAGCAGAGAGAATGCTTTATGGATTGCACCGACTGCCGCTATGCAGCTCTTTGTTCAGTGTACTAGAACATCGCAAGAAATCCTTCCTGCGCTTACCGGGTACACTCCTAAACTGCCAGAAAGGAAAAGATTATTGCCACCGAGTCACTGACGTAAAAGCGCTCTAATTCCCGGATAAAATAAAATAGGATGTACGACAGCGCACTACAAAACCCAGCCAGTACTGCTGCCCACTGACGTAAAGGTTTCATAAACACTGACCACTCCCTCGTTTTCTGGCATGCTTAGGTCCCCTTGCCTTGGCTGTCCTTTCTCGGCAGTTTTCAAGATGGCATTGCGTCATAGTCGCTCACCGCTGACGATAAAAAAGGATGGGGGGACCAAACACCACTCCTCAAGAGAATTTTAACTCAAATAGTTGAATAGTGGAACAAAAATTTACATTAGAGTAAAATAAGTTATGATGGTATATATGTACCTGGCTATGCTGGAATCGGACCGACAGTCGTCAAAAGAGAGACTCAAGCTACTGCTAGAAATCCATTTCTGAGACTGACAAACCCAGAGACTCGTCCATTTCTCAAAACTGGAAAATCCAAAACTGAACATCCAAAATATGCACATTGAAAAGTGTGCAATAAATAGGACCGACATTTAACGTGAACGAATGCTTTGGCTACAGTCCTTCATAAACAGAATACCGACGCGTACAGGGCCGGAACATGCCTGAGAGTCAGCTTAACAGAAGTAAGCTTTTGCCCACATTCAGGGTAATTCTAGCCCCCTTCGTTGTCCGACCTCAACACCACACCCTCGCCCTGTTCTCCGGACTCCTGTTGTTCCCCTCCCCTCCGTAATAATCCTCCCTCCACACTCCCAAATGCCACATCCCGGCTGCTCGGTCGCCAATCGCCGATGTTGCTGGGCAGCATACACTATCATCTTTGCAAAACTGCGTAATTGTGGACGACGGACTTTTCAGCCAGCAAACGGACATGTTTATCTGTGTCCTGCGCATTGCATCCACTACCATCGCTTGCTTCATCCATCACCACAGATGAGTTTTCTACCTCAAACCTCAGTCTCCAAAAAGCAGTTCCTTCCTGGGCAGAAATTCTCACTTTCCGCTTGTTGTGCCGAGCAGCACTGCCCTTGGGATGTTAAGGGCGAAGGGGTAAAAAGGCAGGTGGTTGGAGAGAGGGCAGAGACAACGAGGATTATTTATTCTTCTCCACACCGCATATCTACGCCCCCTCCCCCAACACACACACAGTAGTTCCTTGTTAAATCCTTCCTGTTGTTATGAGAAGAGAGAGCTTATTCCACCTAACGTATCGATGGACTACCAAGTGGCAGAGATGACTGCATGGGTGGTGAAGCAAAGGAGCCGATGCCATCACTCTACCCTTACGCAAGGCACGAGGCCTGCGAAAGCACCAAGCTCAGACGAGCACGGAGCCCACATCACACACCAATCAAAAATTTCAGGAAGCGAAGGGGCACGCAGGACATCTATAGACCAATTACAAGATTTTCGATGAGATTTGCAGTCCACCTCATCAGGTGGGGCTGCAAACTGCTTTAAACTTGCTGACTCATCGCCTCTACGAACCACAGTTACGCCATTCACTCTAATGCTCTCCCCCTTTCACAAAATGATAAATTGCTTTGCCAGACTCACCGACTCGTCTTGTTTGCTCCAAAGATGAGAGACTATTACTCTCCGCTAAGTCGAGGAAGGCGACTGCAGAAGATGGAAAACACTTGGCTTCCCTACATCACTGATCACCTGTGAATACAAGCAACTGAGGAAGCCGGTGAGCTCATCAGGTCAGCACTGAGGAAGCCAGTCACAGCAGGGCAAGCTCATCAGGTCCACCTTCAGCAGCATGTAATCAGCTTTTACAAAGATAACCCACCGACTCGCAAGCTCTCCCCTTTCACCAAGTGGCACATCGCGTGACTGCATAAGAAAGCAAACACTCGGCTTTCCCTACATAACTGATCACCTGTGAATACACACAGCACTCAGGAAGCCAGTCATGGTACAATGGAGCCAGACGAGCAAGCTCCTAGGGTTCACCTTCACCAGCATGTAATCAGGTTTGACAAGGAGATACAAAATGTATCATCCCCCTGCTCTCCCGCCTCTTCAGGTATAGCGTAAGTGAATCCAAAATGCAATCTGGATGCCCCTGCCGTGCAGGAATTCTGCTCCCCTCCCCTCCCCCCTCCACCCTCCCCCCTGGTAAGGAGCTGGATCCCATCAGCAGCTGTTCTACTTTAAAAAGCATTTCCCGGCCATCCGCAAGCTGCCTGGCTAATAAAATGCTCCCCTCCCCAAACTATCACTTCAATCTCAGAAGTAGCCTCATCCGCCGGCATGCTTGCTTGTTTCCTGGCCACCGCGCTCCTCCCGCCTTCTCCTCCATCCACGCAAACTGCTCCACTAGCCTCCTTCGACAACCACTCCTGAACCCAACCCCACCTCACCCCACCCCACCCCACCCCTAATTCACAACGTCACCCCACCTCTAATTCACAATGTTCTTAACGGCATAATAAACGTGATGAGTGAACACATTGTGTAATCCAGCGTGAAGCGAAAACTTTTTTTTTGATCATGGAAGACAATTTATCCTGCACCGGTGCACCTTGGCTGTATCTTCGCACTGACACACTAATGACCGTCAACGTAATCCTTCGCCTTGAGTAGTTCCACTTCGTAGTCTGCCGGGTGCCATTGGCCAGACGACAGACTTGCTTTCCCTGGGTTCGTCGTGTCTTGGCTAACGTAACATTGACGTGGTCATCAACAGCATTCCCTGAACATGTCACTGCCCAGCCAAAGACTACTGCTTTCCTGCCTATTGGGCCCAACACGCTGCCCCTAATGAGCCTCTCTCAATTGAAACTCTATGCCGCAGCATGCACCCACCCACCCAAACGTATACCCGCGCCTGAGCATCCCTCGGCTCCACTTCCATGCAGGGGTGTTTGTACACCCACCCACCTCACATGTACAAAACTTCTGCGTTGTCGTACAAAATTCCAGCTACTTTGGAAAAACTGCTCTCGCAAACTGGATCTCCATGCATGCCACCTGTTCTCTCATTCGGAAGCTCAACCTACCTTCATTCTCTGCCTTCCGCTCACGGAATGCTCAACATCGGTGCACACGAACATCGCCACTCACCTTTACATATACTGTCATACGCAGGCTGTCCACCAGCATCCTCCAAACCAAATTCCAAGCCAGGCAACTCCACACTTGAATCGGCGTCTGCCAGCAGTTTTTTACCCTTGGAGTTCCCATCCGAGCGTCCTTCCAGCTGCCCGCCTGTCCCCGCAGGGAAGACCATCTTCATCTCCCCCCCCTTCCATCAGATCTGCCTGTGTTCATGACACAGAAAGACAGCCCAGCAGCAGGCAATGACAGCAGTCAGAGCAGCAAACCAATGGCCTCGACCACGGCTAAGATATGTACAGGATATAAAATGAATGACAGGACCTGGCCACCAATGAAAACCTGCAACGTGCTAACACTTCATACAATGTGTGGCGACGACACAAAAACATCCGCAAAAAACTTGTGCATGACTTTTGCCAACTGGCAGGGTGGTACGCCCCACCAGATGCAGCCTTGCACACAGTGTTGTGTAGAAAAATAGCTGCGAACAGGACCAGTGGGGTTTAATACAGGACTCAAAGGACCAGTGGGGTTTAATACAGGACTCAAAGGACCAGTGGGGTTTAATACAGGACTCAAGTTGGCTAGCCTCATTGCGAGTTTAACAATCATTTTTTTTTATTTTAATAATTTGGTAAAGAATTTACCTGCGACCCTGAGCCAAATGTTCAGTTCAAAAAAAAAAAAGACTCAAACTCAGGTCAATTTTCAACACAGGGTGCTTGGCCCTTTTTCTTTTATTCCTCCAGAACTCGATCGCAAACCAACTTTCATTGATCTAAAAAAGACTGCATTAGGCGAAGAAGATCGAGGGCACCTCCTATTCTTATCAGTTTAATATCTGATCCGTGTTACATCAGGCCACATTTATAAAAGGAAAGAAACTGGCGGGACAAATAGATAGAGGAGTGTTCCAATGTACAGTGAGAAGCAACGATGCCGTTCCCCACAGTAGCCGGTGTGCTATAGGATCATGCTGGCACGGGGTTTCAGAAAAAAATAACAGTAAAAATAACCGATGCCGTTTCCAAACGAAGCAAGTGTGCCTCCTGTTCCAAAATACAGGGAGAACAGTGAAAAAGGATGACGCTGATTCCCAATGAAGCATAAAAGGACTACAAACTAACGTACGCAGAAGAGTCCTCGGCCACTGCCAAGGCGAGCACTTTACCTGGCAAACTACCGTAGTGGGAAAATGACAGACGACCTTCTACAATGACCGTCAACCTTGTTCTCTTTCACTTTTCTTTTACTTTTTGAGATTTTTCCTGGGCCTTCCCAGTATTTCTCCTCCTCCCAGTATTCAACAACATCCACCAGTCTGCTTCTCCTTCTTATGACAATCTACACTCCCACAGCGTACAAGAACTTTCAAAAACATTCAAAAACATTCATACTGAAAGTAACTGAATGCCATTTTGTGAATGCTGATGCACAAGGTAATTCCATCATGAGCAGCAGAGCAAAAGGGGGAAAGGGGCCATACACTGCATTCTTGAGACTCCTATCCGCCGGTTGTCATGATCATACACCACAAGGTAATTCCTCATGAAGTTTGCTGCATTCAAAATCAGCACAGATACAGATGTCAGACCAACAGGTTCGAACTCGTGGTGCAAATGACACCACCATGAGTTCATGAAAGATTCTCTGTTAACAAAAGAATGAAAAAAGAAGCACAAAGATTCCACAACCACATGCACACAAATACAAGCATTCATAATTTCATACGCTGCTGCATTTCACAAGTTAACCGTCAATGACCAAAGACGCAAGCTTCAACCACATTACGTATTCCGATGGTCTACAGACATGAACAAAAAAAAGAGTTGATAGCAGACATCGCTGCCAGACAACCAAGAGTTGATGCTGCAGACATCCCTGACCAGGTCTCCGTAGATTGTTTGGAGACCTTCAGTCCCACCACTTGTTTTGTTAACAAATACCAGACAGATGTGCTCTTCACTGCCTGGGGATCTTATGGAAGCTATTCCACAAGTTCTGTTAACGGCTAAAAATTCGATATGCCCATGGCTTTTTCCTATTGACTGGCCCCGGGGAGGAGACGAGTGAAAAATGCTGCGGGCATTTCTGTCCTTCCGGGTAAAACAAGTGGCATGAAACTCGTGACAACATCTAATCATTGTGAAGCTGCTAGAGGTCCTATTTATACACATCAACAGCAGTTCCGTGTTCGAAGGCAATGAGGGTGCTCGTGTAATATGGGCAGCACCACACCATACACGTGCTGGCAAGGCTACTATAGCTTCTACTGTCGTCACCCGAACAAAACGCCGGTTCATTATAGCCATGTTTGGTGCAATTTTCCTTCCAGATACAGCTATAATGACCGATACAGCTGTAATGACCAGGTGTGCTCTTCAGGTGAAGATGGTAGTGCACAACGGTTATATTGTAGAACAGATCCTGAAAGCCGTCGCCTGTTGGGCCTTGAGGGCCCCTTTGAAAAACAAAAAGAAAAACAAAACATCATGCCGGGCACCGAGTCCTCGCACCAAAACTCACACGTTCCTATCTAACAGCTATAGTTTCAGGTTTTCATTGTTTGTGTTTTTGTTTTCATTCTTTTTTCTTTTTTTTTTTGGTGGCCCACCAGGGAGCCACGGTGTAGTCCACGGGCTGCTGACGCTTTTTGGAGGAGGGCATGCCCACACTATTATTTTGCAGAATGTATGAACCCGCCTTCCCGCCCTAAGTTCAGTTTCAATTTGTTTTCCCTCTTCCTTCTTTTGTGGACATGGCACCCTTGCCATAACGCCCTCACTGAGGGCATACACGACGACTTTTTTTCTTTCAGGAGAGTTAAACCACTAGTACCTTTGCCGCGTGGGAAAATAGCGGGCCTCAGTTGGTCCTCTGACTTTTTCGGAGGCTGAGACGAAGTGACGACCGCCGATCAGATTTATCAATGGCAGTCGTCGTCGGGCCCGACCTCCGAATCTTTAGGAGTTTGGGAAAACTGCCTCTTTTGAGTCTTTTCCCTATTTTCCCAACACTGGCGGAGGTACTAGTGGTTTAACAAGAGTGCCAGAAAAGAAACAAAACGGAACCCAGGCTCGGCAAAACTCGGTGCGCAGTGAAAATCAGGGTCAGCAAAAACAGGCTCAGAGGTAGTGGTTGTTTAAACCAAAAAAAAAAAAAAAAACAGGCAAAAAAAAAAAAAAACACATAAAATTTGACCTCCCAAAATTCAAAGCCTAGTTTCAGTTTTCGATCCGTTACTCAGGAGCTGAAAGTGGGGGTCCCCGACTCCCCGTTAACCACTTGTGTCAGTCTAGCTATGCCTGATTAGATTAGGGGAGTTGCCTGATTAGATTAGGGGAGTTGCCTGATTAGATTAGGGGAGTTGTGTTCACTGGACCACTCGTGCGGTTTGTTCATGCCTGCCTGATGAATTCAGAGATTCCAGGTCTGCACCGTCAGCACATGTCTAAGCTTCCCTCCCTTCTTCTTTCTCACAGTGGCAAGAGGACAGGCGCAAGGAGGTTGGGCAGGGGTTGCATACCAAGGCTGGCATATGGAAAGAGTCAAAGCAGAATATTCCAATCTAATTCAGGATAATTTAGCAGGATATTCCAACTCTCACAGCAGAGTATTGCCTCGGCAATCACGAGGGATAATAGAGAACCTGGAAGAATGCATAAGAAGATGATTGATAACTTACCTCCAATTGAGACAAGATTCCACAGGTCGGGAAACTGATCAGCAAAGGGCAGTTCTCGCATGCCAACACATAACGCAGGCTGAGGATCACAAAACGTACATAATTGGACATGACAAACCGAACACCGGACAAGAGCACAGACCCATACTCGTGTAAACAAACACGAGAGAGCAAGACAGAGAAGATGCCACTCCACAGAGAAGAAACATGAAGCACACAATATCCCCCAGGCACCCAGATATCCATCCAGGCCAACCGCGCTCATTCAAAAAGCCACCATATTTACATGGCACACACCCCACCCCTCACCCCCATAAGGTCCAGCCATGAAAGTTTTTTGTACACGAGTTTTGATAAAGGGCAAAACAGTTCCCCATCCTATGTGCACACGAATCAACAAACAAAGCGCACAGAAACCAACAGCAAACAACAACATACCACCACCAACAAATGACAACAAATAAAAACAAACGACAACGAACAAGGACAAAAAAACATCAACAATACATCAATCAACAAACAAAAAACAACAACAACAATAAACAACAGTGAGTTCATGTGAACTTCCGTGGTAATAGAGACCAAGCATCCCAAAATACGAAGGATCTAGCAGAAAATCACGGTTCGTATGCATTGTCAACATATATATTTCGCACTTTGCAAAAAATATTTTCTCAATACGTTGTCTTTTTCGAAAACAAACAAAGAAGTTAACAGACAGCAGGAAGCACAATGAAACCCTTCTTTTGCCTTTTACTGCACAGTTCTTGCTTTTCTTTCCTGGCGGTGGCTTCTTTACATGGTTTCTCTTTCATTTCTTCTTTTAGTTTCCCCATTCCTGTGCCTCTAACGTGCAAGGCTTGCCGCATTGATGTAGTTGAGCGGGAGCTGACTACATCCAGCAAGTCTATTTGCACCGCCTTTGCTGGCAAACATTGCTTTGCACGGAATGGAGAATGCTGTGAACGAGTGGGATCCACAAGAGGCAGTGGAAGGTCGAGTGAGTATTCTAGTACAATACACCAATGATTCCATTGTCCTTCACAAGGCTCAAAGAGTTGTCCAGGGCACTCTATGGTTCCTATCACCATCGCTCCAACACGTGGGCAGAGCATGTTGGGGTTTGGAAATGAATTACGCGTATGTATATATACATATATATGTTTCCCTACCCGCCAGGAAACCCTCCTCAGACCTCCCCCCGTTAATACCTCCCAACATCATCAATATGGAGGGTAAGAAGGATCTCGGCCCGACTCCGGTAGTAGCAGCGGCGGCAGGAGCAGCAGTAGCATTTGAGATTATGCTGTTTTGACGAGGAAGAACACGCCCTGATTTCAAACATCAGTTTACTGTTTAGTTCCAGCTCGGTAGAGAAGGAGATCTGGCTAAGAAAGGCATTCACAGAACGTGTTGTTCGGACAATGATAGCCACCACAGGATGAGGGAGGAGCGATACCCAGACCCCGAACAATGCTAAAGATTCATTTTTTCTTGCCCGAGGAGGCATAAACAAAAATAGTTTGAAATTCCCTCGTACAGCACTATGAACATATCAAGACGAACACATGCATTAAGGCGGCACAAGGCCTTTTACAAGGACAAGACGTCCACACACTACAATAGAGTGATTTCTAACTTCACTTGAACGTCTTCGTCCTTTCTGAGAGCATGACCGAGGTGCAAACAATGTGAGCAACACATATGCAAGAACAAGAAAACTCTTCAAAACTCTTCAAAGAAAGCAAATAATGATGACACACTTCGCCAGAACCCTTGCGTTCATCAGGAAAAAAAACAAATCCAGCCAGAGGAATATAAATTGAGCTGTTTCTGGAGCAAGACTGGCATGATACTAGCTTGAACAAAATGACCTGTTGAAGATTCGGTTATGGAAGAAAGGATGTTTTCAGGAAATGTCTAGTATGCTTGAATTATGCTGAAAACAAGGCAAACAAGTCTCGGTGAGGCAAAGGGAGGGGACAGTATCAGTGACTGTTGCATTGGGATTTAAAGACGGGCTGGGGGAGTGTCCACACATGTCACAGGATGCTTTAAAAACTTGGCAAGGAGGAAGTGTCTCTGAGGATGTCCAGCATCACATTATGCTTTAACGAGGGAAGTAGTGTTGAGGGGTTCAAGACTATACTTTTTTCTGTGAGAACGAGGGTTGCCAAGGAGATGAGGGGGGAGAGCGGGGGAACGAGGCGGAGAGTTTGTTGAGCGTCAAGCATTACTGCAAAATGCTTTATGCGACGGAGGGAAGATGTGAGCAGGGCTAGGTAGGACTGAGCAATGGTCACAGCTATATTTTGAATACCACTATCAGGAAACGAAGCAGAAAACACTTTTGGCTTTCGTGAAGGATCCAGAAACATGACAGGATATCATAGACAAATTCCCAAAGGGCACACCGGGGAGTGGGAAGCTCAGGTCACTGGAGGGGGGCACTATCAATCGAAGGTGGTGGTCTGGGGAAGGGGACGAAAAAGGGAGAGGCCCATAGGGGAGGCCCACCCGATACATATTGACCTTAGAAGCATACGCATCAGTCTCGGGCACAACAACAGGAGACATGGGGACCCAAGGTGGGTGGATGGAGGGCAAGAGAGCACAAGGGAGACATGGGGTCCCGAGGTGGGTGGATGGTGGAGGGCAAGACATGGGGGCCCCAGTCTGGGGTAAAGGGACGGACAAGGGACAGCCCCATAGGGGAAGCCCACTCGGTCCATGCCGACAATACAATAGGTCCTGGGCGTCCGGTGTATGAATAGAAGAGAAGTTTATCACCTGTCCTCCTGTATCAGACGATCCTATTTCTACCAGATAGTCCCTTGGAGAAACCACCATCGTAGCATTCTCGAAGTGCAGTGTCACATTGGGGAATGCCAGCTTCAGGGCCTTTACCGTCTCTGCCGTACTGCAAGGCACAAAATTTCACATCCAAAGAAGCAGGCACAAAACAAAGGCAAGACAACAATCATTCAACGAATCGATGCCAACCAACCCATTGCTTCAATTGCAGATATAGCTGAATCATCTGACTATTTTAAGCACCACCATTACAAAAACAAAAAGCGGTTCTCAAATCACACCTCTTCACCCCTTCTTCAAGCCCTGGTAGGCCCTGGTAGCCCTTCTTCAACCCCTGGTAGGGGTTGACATTGCATGACATAGTTAGCGAACGCCCATACACGCATACAAAATTACAAAAAAATACAAATTGAGCAAGGGCGAGCGAAAATTAGACCAGAGTTACCAGGGCCAAAATGGTAAAAGGGCAGAAAAAGCGCAAAAAAAAATTTCCATCCTTCCTCAAGAACTTAAAAGGAGGAAAAGTTTCAAGAACAAAGGAAAGAATCAGTAAATCTTCAAAATGTGGGAGAGAGTGCACACTGCACAGAGTGCCCGGGTTAACTACCGTTTTCACACAAATAGAATACCCGGTCATTGTCACCGTATTCAGGACAACTTTCAGTCCAGATGCGGCCGTTATGACCAGGCGTTCTATTCGGGTGAAGACTGTAGTCGAAAAGGGCAACCAAAGGTACGCTGCCCCCCTTCTTCATCTCACAAGACCTACATCTTCTCAAAAAGAAATCATCACAACTGAAACAGTCTCACACTCTCGAAGGTCCACAACCAGGTTTTCCCGCACAACCAGCCGCACTCTCAAAGCACCTCCCAAGTGTTCCCACAGCCAATCAGAGGATACACTCAGCCCATCACAAAGCAGATGCTGCCTTCCCAGGGCACATGAAGGCTACCGCCATTCAGGTTATTCCAACACTCTGCATGCAGCGGGGGTTGGAGCCCTCAGCTGCCTCCTGATGTCCACCGCGGCAGCCTGCATCGCTACCTGGCAACTCTGACTTACCTTGCCCACCTTTCCATATAAAATATGGGATGCGGCAGCTATAGCTGGCCCCCAGTAGCTCCAGACAGGTGCACTCTTGGATGAATGGCCATTCACATGGACGAGCCTATATGGACACTACACAAGGCGCAGGCCAAGGCCTTAATCCACATGGACAGACCTATCTGGCTGACTCTATGCTAGGCACAGGCCAAACAGTAGCTCCTTCTGGCAGGAAACACATTTGCCTGCGGCTAAGTCTTGCCATGCACATGGTCATACCTCCAGACTAGGTGCAGGCCAATTTCTTGATCCATTCAGCGGAATTTCAGCCCCTAGATCTACTGAACAAGTCCGAAGAAAAAAAGCCATCCCACCAACTAACTTATTGGAAAATCCCTGTTTCACAATCAAGAATAGGTGCGCAGTGCACACACAGGTACTGTGAAAGGTGGAAAAAGAGAGGACGTCGGTAGGACAGAGTCCCAGCAACTGACACAGGCCTTATACTCGATCATTCAGGCAGTCAATCTGACCCATAAACCCAGATAAAACATTATTGAGTCTGATGAAAGCAAGATATATTATGATTTATGTCATCGGCATACGCAACTACCCACACACCCAGAGAATGAAATCCAGCAGAAAACATGTAGAACAGTGAACACACAGACTTATTCAGCTTGATGAAATCAGGACAAATGTAATCGAAGATATGCAACCTGAATACAGACTAGACAAACCATATTCTGAAGAGCACTACTCAAATTGTTCAGGCCAAGTACACAATGGGAATCCCACTGACAGAGCATTGACTGTTACAGATCACGCATCACGCGGGCTTTACATGTAATAAGGCGCCGCTTATGCACCGAGCTTCGCCCTTCACTAACCATTTTCAGGAAGTCAGGTTTGTACACAGGAGGAGAAGTAATCCCTACATGATAATGGGTGGGAGCTTGAAGCATGTCAGACGCAGGCGACTGCTTGTTGCATTGTCAAAGGCCAATGATGGCACTCGACTGGTAATCTGCAAGCAGGCAGAAGATGAAAACCCAACAAAACACAGATATGCAGAGCACATGTTAAAGAAAAGAACGCACGCTCAAAACCTCTGATTGAAAAAATAAATAAATAACCGGCACCGACTGAAGCGAAGAACGACAGGAACTTGCAAGCATCATACCACAAGAAAAGCTGGTTACAACATTCATACTATTTCATAGCATAGATTCATTCCCTGACATCACTAAGGGGGAAACAAAAGAAACTTCACACAAGCAATCTAGCACATTATTTGCATGCCATTGCGTGGCACAGATTTCTTTTCACAACTGAGAATCGGTGCAATCACTGAGAGAAAGCATGCCTCTTAAGAGCAGCATTAAACATATTTGTTCACAGACATACTAGCTGTCCCATGTCCCGATATGCAATCAAGCTGCTTGTAAAATCCACAGCAGGTTAGCCTAAACAAACAAAAACGTTGAAAGAAGACTTACGAAGGAAGAACTCGTAACTATGGCCAGGCCAGTATACTAGTCTCTCCTCCGGCCAATCGCATGCTGATACCCTCGACCAACAATAGCCAAGGACTCTGTTCCAAGGGAAGTCCTTTCGACTGTTTGATGCCCAGTCCATTTCCCCTCCACCCATCCAGCACTCCACGTACTCCTCTCCCCCCGCCCCCCCCCACCACCACAACCCCACCAGATCCCGCATTCCATGTGTTCCTCTATTGCCTACCTCAAAGAGAAGTGCTGCTCCCCAAAACCTGGAAGCTGCGGAGAACAGAATTTCCTCATCCAGTATTCCACCTGTTCCTCTATTCCCCACCTCAAAGAGCAGACCTCAGAAAGCAGTGCTGATCCCCAAAACCTGGCAGCCTTAGACATGAATGCTCCCTCCTCAGGCCGTCTACAGGCTCGGATACATAGCGAGGGCAGACCCAGCCTACACCAGTCCTGAACGCCCGAGTGGCCCAAATTTCCTCCTGATGAACAGAGTCCAGCATGCACCCATCATGCACCCAGGCCCATCCGTATGGTCAGTCTGGAGATGGGTTCCTGGACACGTGACCACATCAGCAACTAACTCTGGACCCAGTCCTTGGCGCTCTAACCTGGCAGCCTTAGACATGAATGCTCCCTCCTCAGACCATCCACAGGCTCAGATATATAGCGAGGCCAGATCCAGCCTACACCACTCCAGAATGCCTGAGTGGCCCAAATTTCCTCCTGATCAGCACCGCCCAGGATGCTCGACCAACAGAGCGCCGCGCATCACGCACCCAGGTGCATCCGCATGCTCAGTCTGAACACGGGTTCCTGGGCACGTGACGGCATCAGCAACTGAATCTGGACCCAGTCTTCGGCGCTCTAGATATAGACAGATTGTCCTTTGTGCAACAGGGGACACAGGAGGGGCACAAGTCCAGTTCTATATTTTGGATGGAGATATCCCCACGCCTACCACACTGAAAACACAAACAGATACCTGAACACGCACATGTCAGAACGTACAAAACGTGTGCATGCGCAGACACACGCCGAAATAACACCATGCTAAAACAAAACAGTGAGAGAACACGGAAACCTGAGAAAGATACAATAAAAAGTTAGCAAACTGCAGGTACGGGACGGGACCTTTTGTAGCCCAGGATCCCCGTAGAGCTGTCCAATAGGAAACCCAAGGCCTCGGCCACACGTAGCAGGTCCTGAGCATGCCACACAAGCATACTGCAGACATTCAATTCACATTGTCAGGCTACTTGCATCAGAAACAAGTCTCTAGATGGCCAAGAAAATGTAAACGGCCACATATCTGTCGATTCCATAACCAGGGCCTTGTGGTCCTGGTTCCTTTCTGAATAGAGGGGAGCATCAATACGACTCCTTTCTAACCGGAAGTCGGTAGTTAATGCAAGAAAATATTACCAAACATTCCCTTTCCTTGCACCAGAGCTGCTCCTAAAAAGATCCATAAGCTGCAGTGGTACAGGGACTGACCATCGGCCGGTTTGGAAAGTGGGGCAGGGGTGGCAGGTGGGATTTGAGTGTGCCAAATTTGGCAACCAAATCAGTAGAAAGAATTTCATGCATCTCAGCATCTGAGCTCCAGTGTCAATCCCTCAGTCCCAGTGTCCCATCTACCATAGTACAAATAGGTAGGTAGGCTAGCCCGGTTGCATCACTAGGCCCAGTAGAAGCCATTATGCCAGAAGGTCTGTTGGTCCAGTCAGCCCCATTCGCCAGTCAGTCCAGCCCAGTCAGCAGCTCAGTCCCACAAAAGGCCAATCAGCAAAAGCCATAGCCGCCCGTGTGCAGACATATGACTTCTTGTATACAACTTGGTGTGGTGATGAGTGGACTTATCATAGTGTGAAGTGCCAATCACAGGATCCTGCAAAGGACTGATCTGTTTGGAAGACTACTAGAACAATTGAGAACAAATTCTGGCAGCATTGCCGCAGCAAACAAATAGTTGTTCTCCCACCTGGAGTCGGTATGCCCAAAACGTTTTGGCACTGCACTCTAGGCTTGGAAAAATCAATGGGGTCACTTGATTTGCTTCGGTGGCAGTGGTGGCTTGAACGATGTCAGTACCTCTGAGCCCCTTCTTTCCGGTGCACAATTTCGACAGGCCCTAAATTTTCAAACTATCGCATGCAAGGGCCTACTAGGCGCTGCGAGACTCTTCTGTGCAGTAGGCCGAATCTTTTCCCGGACTTTGGTTGGCCAAAAAAGTATATACAGAGTTGGCAAAAAATTCTCGATAGAGAGGGACTCCAGGCATTTGTTAGTCTAGCGATGGTGCTCCCCTTCAGTTTCGTGCCATGACCATTTTGAGCTATCATTATTGAGCTGACCTGCCCCAGGCAATTCATAAATATTTGGTCTTAGATGATCTTGGTCTGGAAATGTCCATCTACTTTCGTTGGCCCAAGGTTCGGAGTCGGCGGGAAGTTTTGTCTGGATAAGTCTTCCAGGACAGTGTTCAGTCTGGCTTCGGCACCCCCTTTCAGTTTTCTGTTCTCAGCATTTTGGCTCTTAAGTGATCTATGCCTTTTTTCTTTTTTTTTAATCCCTGGGGGGAAGGTTTCAGCAATCTTTTCATGAATTAACAAGAATCCCACTGTCCATATCTACCTCCCTGTGAAGCTACAGTCAAGGGAACATGCTTGGAAGAATTGGCGGGAAAACAAGATGCTGTCGAAATGGACTACGTTACATGACTTGAAACGTACCGACCCTCACGGCTTGTCGTGTCCAAGCAAAAGACAATGTCAGGTGAGGAGTTCGGCTGGGGTAGCACGTCTGTTAGAAGATAATAACGCAGATGTTCCAAGAAAGGTGCAGTGCCTTTCTCACCTGTGATGGAGTGAGAGTACTTCAGTAATGAAGGCGCACCCTCAAGGGCTTATCCTCCGCCATACGAGGGACTTTCCCCTGGCTAACGGACAGAGGACCAATGATGCGTTTTAGAAAAAAGGAAAAGAAAAAAGAGCAGATATACTACGCTCATCCTCGCCCTTTACAGGCTGCTTATGTAGTTCCCAAAGAGACATACCCATTATGACAATCATGCATAAGAAGAAAGTAATAACCACAAAGGAAGGATCATTGCAACGTTCTCTTTGAATAAGAATCAACTGATGGATTTCCAATTCATTCAAGCGCGGGTAAAATCGGGGGAAGAAGTTGCTTGAACTTTTTTCTTACCTTGAGAACCAAACCGCGCAGGATGTTCCGTGGAAATATGGTAATTGTGTTCCCAGAGTCAAACTCAACGGTTGGAGTCCCCACATCATCGTAGAGCTCGGGTACCGGGAAAGTCACATCACCAATCGAGATGTTAAGAAGTCTCACCCGGTATCTCCGCCTGGAAAACCAATGCAAAGGAATTCAAAAACTCCGCAAAGTCAGCAAACTCGGCAGGACATCTGCAGATGGGAAGGTGCATGGCATTGCATGCACTCACATCTACCGAGATGGAGAAAAGACTACCGATGAAATACACTTGTTCACTGCATTCCATCTACGATAGTTCCCTCATAGAGGTATGGAAGACGGCCAGCCATAATTTCCAGCCATATAGAACCCTGCACCATGTTCTCTTCTACCCCATGACCTTACCACCCCCATGCCATTACCAGCCCAGACAGGACTATAGATGTGTTACACTGGGGTGCCTGACCATTGCTGTTTTCCTCAAAGGTAACTTTAGTCATCAAGGAATAACCAACACTTGTACAGGGGAAGGTTTTCGACCACACACAGACACACACACACGAAGAGCGAGCACGGGAGGGCATAGGAGCCAATACATGCCTGGACATTGCACTGCTAAAAGTGACACGAAAACGAAAAAGGAGGAACTCCATTCTACTGTGTGGCGGCATCATGCAAGTCCGCTATACACATGCATGTTAAGATCACACGAACTCTCTCCTTCAGGAGAACAGACCAGCCACAGAGCTAAGCATGAACATAATGCAAACATGGCCTGGCACTGGGATTACACCAATTGCATACATATACATACCGTGTGCACTACTTCCCTTCGCCAAATTTCACCCCTGCAACCTCCCAACCAAATCCATATTCTGGTACTTGTCTCAGAAACCTGACAGCCTTGGAAGGAGGAAGGGAGTCGAGAGAAAGGGGGGAGAGCCCATATATTTGAAATTGGGCTAGTCTGATTTCAATGCCTTTTCAGGTCCCAAGGGAACAGGTCAATTGTTCAAAATTTAATATTTAAAACTTGTTTCATGCCCCTCTCAAGACCCATGGGGCACCAAATCCATATTCTGGTACTTATCTCAGAAACCTGAGATGCTTGGAAGGAGGAAGGCGGTCAAGAGGAAAGGGAGACGAGCCCGTTTATTTGTAATTGTGCTAGTCTGATTTCAATGCCTTTTCACGTCCGAAAGGAGCAGTTAAATAGTTGAAAAAACTAAATTTTGAAACTAGTTTCACGGACCTCTCAAGACCCGTGGGGCCAACTGCATGGCTAGCGGACAATAATTTTTTCGCTTCTATGAAACTTCTCGTCTGCAACTCGTAATTCTCGTGGGCCACTGGGAGAACCCTGGGTACAAGGAGCTTCTTCCAAACTAAACACTCCTGAATTTACTTCCATTTTCACTGACACCTTCCCAGAACGAAAAGAGCAACATACTTTCTACTTGCCTCTTCTGGTTAAAGCCTAGTGCGCTCTGACACTGTCCAACATTGCTGACAAATAGCAACCTGGGTTACCTCACTCCTAGTCAACACCCACCTGACCAGTAGGCAGCAACAAACTGAGCAGAGACCATACGACAGGTCAAACAACAAACCATCATAGTTGACGTAAGCACCACATTACTCTTGCTTCCTTCACCCACCTGACCACTTGGCAGCAACAACTGCGCAGAGACCATACGCAATTCTCGTGGGCCCACTGGCAGAACCCTGGGTACGAGGAGCTTCCTCTTCTTCTTCTTCTTCTTATTCGTCGCCTGCTCCTTCACATAGTGACTTGTACTCAACGCACAGGCAGACCCCATTTGAAGGATTTTCCTGTCTTATCAGACCACATTTGAAGGATTTTCCCCATCTTATCAGACCCCATTTGAAGGATTTTCCCATCTTGGCAGACCCCATTTAAAGAATTTTCCACGTCTCAGCATCACGTGGTCCCAGAGTCCCAAGAGTCCCATGTACTAGAGACCCATTGGGTAGACCGTAGGTCTGTCTTCGTCAACGTCGAGAGGGTCCAGAAGGCCAGGTCAGTGGGTAGGCTCAGAAAATCCAGTAGGCCCAGCCAGACTGTCGGTTCAGTTTAGCCTGCCAGCAAGGGCTGGTCCCAGAGTCCCAGGAGTCCCCACCTTCAGTGTTGGGGAGTGCATCAGTGGAAAATTAAAATAAAAACAAAAGATGGGCGGGCAGACAGCAGCCTCACGTTCCCATCGGCCATTCGGCCATCATTAGTTTTCGGGCATCCCGAAGGACATCCGGGCCCTGTCATCCGGAACGTCTAGATGCCTAGGTCAGGATGCTCTCTCAGATAATTCAAGAACAGGTTAGTCTGGCCGACCATCGGCAGCCCCGAAACTGTCAGCTGCCGACCTGCCGACAGTATGACTGGCCGGCGCCAACTGGTTGGCAACCGGTAGGGACCCCTCACACTGGAACAGCAAATTATCACGGGGTTCTAACTGGCCCGTGTAGCGTTGTCCACCTCAAGAGCCAACTTTTTCCTGGTCAGCAAGACTCCGAGAAGCTGCCCACGCTCACCAAAAGTGAGAGCAGAGAAGCAAGTCCCACCATTCTGCTGCTCTCTCTTCTCCAGAGTCCTTCAGCGGGCGCCATGGTGCTGTCTCCCAGAGAGATTTAACACTCCGCATAACTTCACATGACCCTACCGCCGGAAGAAACCGCATCACCATGTCATAGAAGAGGGAAGGAAGCTGTGGCTCTCTTTTTTCTTCTTTTTTTGTTTCACTTCTTCACCTTCGTTTTCATCTTCTTCTGTGTTGCATCTTCATCTTTTTCATATTTTTCTTCTTCTTTTTCCCCTCGCCAGTGAACAGTTGGAAAATCGAACACTGCTGGTTCAGAAATAAAGGGAAGCAGAAGAGGGCTGAGGCGGTCGCACAAAGGGACAAGAACAGTGATAGGGCCTTGGATTTCATCACACCAGGGGAGACCCGTTTCAGAACTCATTACCTTATGCTGAAGAAACTGCAGATGACGGAAATGTGTTGGTGGACACAACGTGCAGCATTGAGTGGAATGATGCCCCGTGGAAGATAACCACGATAGAACAGGCACGTGCATGCAGGCAGCTCGTGCGCAGTGTGGATTGGTGGGAGACAGTGGATGAGGCTGTTAAACTGCTGGAGCCGTTTTACAAGTTCATGCAGACCATGGACAGCGATGGCCAGATGGAGTCTCGCTATATCACTCTCAAAAACAGAATGAAGAATGCTTCCCTGGACGACAGGACTAGGAGGATGGTGATGCAGAAGGTGAAGCTACGCATGGAGATGATGGCGCTTCCTGTGCATGCAGCAGCATACATGCTGCACCCTGCGCACCTTTCTGCTGATTTTTTTGACAACCCGGATGCGCTGATCATACACAACATTTATCCAGTCGGGACACAAGCATACAGAGACTGTTGGGACTCACTGTTGAGCTTCCACCAGCGCGACCCGGAGTGGAATGGCGAGAAGTCCGAGGAATACCTGTCCGGCAAGAGGATCTTGATGGCACAGCGGTGGATAGCTTATGGGAAGAAGCACACGAAGTTGAAGGGCATTGCCATCAAGGTCCTCAGCATGTGGACCACCACATCCCCATGTGAAAGGAATTGGCCACCTCGTGCACACCAAGAGGAGCAATCAGCTGGCTCCAGTCACGCTCGAGAAGATTGTGTTTATACATTGGAACACAAAGCTTCTTCAAATGTTGCAGTCGAAGAGAGATTATCTGAGGCCCACACAACGGATTTCTGCAGGATGGGGAGTACGACCCCAAGGAGGTGGCGAGACGATCTGCAAACTTGTAAAAATCAGGCAGGCGCTTGTCCAAGGAAACAATGCTTGACATTCAGCCTATTCTGGATGAGGTTCAGGATAACAGAGCGTGTTGGCTGCTTAGACATACACAACCCCTGGGCTCAGTGCAGACCCTGTGCCATCGGTTAAAAATGCTCCAGAGGATTCGGACCATGAGGAGGAGGATGGCATTCTGGATGTGCCTCTTCAGTGTCACATCACGAGGACGGCCGCATGACGCGGTGCGCATGGAGATGGGATTTTGGCTGACGTTGGTATATTCCTGCCACTCCAGCTGATGGAAGTGCACTTGGTGGGAGATCAGCATTGCAACATAGCAGTTGTGTTGGTTGCACGAGTTCTACAGCTGTTTGTGTTGATGGGAGCAATGCATTTGGTGGGAGTTTGACCATGGACCACAGCAGTTCCGGTATTCCTTGCAGTCCAACAATTGGAGGGAGTTCCATACGTGATGGAGGTGTCACTGTTGGTGTGACCGTGAGTGATGCTGGTGCAGGGTGCTCTGGAGACACCGCAGATGTGCCTACAGAGATGGCTAGTGCTGCTCTTGCTGTGGGCATGAGTGATGGTGCCGGAGAGTGCCCTGAAGACAACTGGCACACGGCAATCACCACCTTCAGCAGATGCATTGCCTTCAATTCTTTCTTCCATAGCCCCTGCAGTGTACACAATTCCGCCCTCGTTGTCCCACCTCCAAACGGAGAACAGAATCACAATCCACCTTGGCCAAGATTGAGCAGCGGTGTCCCACCTGTCCCACGGTTCAGTGAAGAGAGTAGCCCCTCATCACCTCGGGTATACAGGCGGAGGAGGCCAAATGATGGACAGTGACCTGCAGTTGAGGATTCTGCAAGGACTTCCAGGAAGGGAATGTCCCCACCTGACGTCAACCATGAGGTTGTGCACACAGTAAAGAGCATGACTGGCCAGAAGAAGGGGTCCGAGAACAAGGAAGTGTCGAAGAAGAAGGATGTGTCAAAGAAGAAGTACAAGTCAAAGAAGAAGTGTCGAAGAAGAAGCACGTGTCAAAGAAGGACAAGTCGCAGGACAAGGACGCCAGGGAAGGCGCATCGCAGCCTGCTCGTCCACCAGTTAGCAGACCAAGAAGAGCTCAAACTGAGCATGGCCCCCGACCCTTTGAAAAAGAAGAGGGCTATCGTGAGAGGCAAAGGTGGCCAAAGCAAGGAAACTGAAGAAGAAACCACAAGCTGCTAGTCAGTCGCCAACGACACGGGCTAGAAAGAGGCAGAGGGTCCAGGATCACGATTACTCATCTAGCGCTCGATGATTCGTCCACCTCCTCCAGTGGAAGCAACGGCAGCAGCGACTGATACCCGTTTCATGTATTTCCTGGGGGGAGAGAGAGAGAGAGAGAGAGAGAGAGAGAGAGAGAGAGAGACAGAGAGAGAGAGAGAGGGAGTCTGATTCTGTTCCCGGTCCTAGGGGCGGATGACATTTGATCTGCTTGTTCTACTCTTTACCAACACACCAACTTTTGTTCTTGAAGTGTCTGTGGTTCCCCTCTTTACTTCTGTTCTCGAACCCCCCCAACACCAACTTTTGTACGGATGCAGAATCTGTGCTTGCAGCGATGGCAACTGCCTCCTCGGATGGCACATGACTGTTGATAGGGCCACCCCATCTGGCCCCGAAAGCATAAGTCCAGAGTTGTCCCTCCTGCAGCGGAGCATTATCGCGCAACAGTTCTCTTCAACACAATTCTTGCACTCAGGGAGTCGAACCCTTTGCGGACAACTTATACAGGGAGTGGGGTCTTGTAAGCAGTAGAGTGGCCTTGTCATCACGGTCTGTTGAGATGTGGCTCTTTGATACAAAGTTTTTTTTTTCTTTTTACTCAGAAAAAGCAAAAACATGTTCCATAGCGTTGGAATACAACTTTTGGCTGTGGTCCATCTCGAAATTCGCAGCCAAATCCAAGGAAAACAACAAAAAACGAAAATATGTTCTTTGTCCAGAATCAAAGTCTCAGTCTAGGTGGACATCCGACCATGTCCATGTCCGAGGCCCGTGTAACCATACCTTTCGCCCTTAGAGAGGGCGGGGCGCATTCAGCGTTCAGCTGTATTCTAGGTTACCTGGGACGCTTGGCAGGGCAAGTCACCTGCCAGGCACCCAGCAGAAACACCTGGTTTCTGGCTGTGATTCTTGCAGATTTCAGTTGTCTACTAGATGCCCTGGGATGCTCAGCAGGCCAAACCGGATCAGGCAGCTCAAACTACAGGAAGTTTTTTCTTTCCCCAATCTTTGGTGGGGACTTTTTGCATCCACCAAGACGAAGCCCAAATCCAGGCCCTTTTAATTTTCAAACAGTTGTGCAGCTGACAGTCATCGCCGAGTGGAGGACTGTTCCACCCACTGGCAGCTGCCGGTCGGCGGTCGGCCGGCGGTCGGCCGGCACCCTGCAAGAAAAAAAATAAAAATAAATCGAGGAACCATAACCCCCAATACCCACCCCCCATACCCCCCTAACCCCCCCCTACACAGACCCCTACACCCCCCCCATCCCCAAAAGTTTCTCAGCAAATTTCGGCTGTGCTCAGCAAGCACAATACAGCCCCGGACTCAGATTTGGATTAAAAAAATAAGTGGATGGACCTCTACAGACTGGTCATTAGAACACCGACCAGTTGGCCCTACTGGTAGGCTCCAAAACGGTCGGCGGTCAGCGGGTATGCAACCCTGTTTTCAAATGTTTTGGATTGGAGGGAAATGGGGGGTTTCGATGAAGGTGAAGCGCTTCCGCTCTTACGATCGCTTCACCGCTAAGTTTTTCACAGGGAGTCCAGTAAGTCTTTGACTTTACGTTTGTCGAGGGTTGAAGAAAGAGATTTGTCAAGTTGGTGAATAACCTCACATAATAGAGGTGTGACCGTGTGAGGCTAAATGGGTTCAACAATAAATTGAAGGGATATATCTTTGTTTGCTTTCTATATGGTGTTAATTTTAATTTATCTCCAATTTCACATGAAATTCCAAAGCGACCCGGAGCCAAGAGTTCCGCCAACTGCAATCCCACATATACACTGTTTCCATTTTTACTTTCATTTTTCGTTTTCTTTCGGGGCCATTTATTTGTGACCTGATCCGACACTTTGCAGAGCACCTCCCTTCGCAGGGCTACCATGGCAACAGGATGTCGCCCGAGCACCCGCCCGGGTATCCTAGGTTATCTTTGCACTAATGGTTGTGGAAAAGAAATTCCCAGAAAAAGGTTGCAAAGGTGGACAGCAAAGGCAACGAGACTTTGGTCTCCATAAATGGTCTTTGTCGACACTTTCAGTTCCTGCCTTCATGGCATATGGTGCTTCAGGTATCACCATGTGTGAAGCCTTCCCCAAATAGAAATACGACAACTCGATTCAAATCATTGCAGTTCAATCTCTGTTGAGAACACCTACCTCACTTCTTACCTTCGATACTGCGTCCCAACCAGAGTATTCAACAGACCGCAACATGCACCAGCCCAAAGAAAAACAAAGACAAAATCGAAAATGGTGATGGGGTCCTGCTTGACACAAATGGTGGAGTATGTACAACATACTTACTCAAAATTAGGATCCCCATACAGGGGCGTGTATTGGATAAAGCTGTCTGGTACAGCTGGCCTTCCAAGGATAAACCTGCCGCCATGACCTTCATCTCTCTTTGTAGCGAAACAGTGCGCAAAGACATTAGGTAGGCCCTGTGCTGCCAGCAGTGACGGAAGCGAGTGGTTTGTTCTCATCAGGCCCAGAGTCCCATCCAATCCATATGCCGTGAAAGGAGGTGATACAATCTGTCCACAACTGGCAAATACATAACAAAGCCCCGATAGTGTATAGTTCAGACCAAGATGTCATGCATTCACAGCCGAACTGAAAAACCCGCACTATGAATTGAGATCCATCTTTGATAATATAATATACTTTTCTGCACAAATTTTTTCTATGCTCATTTGTGATGGTTGGAGTCGGACCATCTCCTGGAGCTAATGGAATGCCGTCGAAAGGGATGATGAAGCCCCGCAGAGCTTCTGATTGCTGATAGAGCATTACAAGGTGACCTTCCTCAACTGACCCACCTCCTGGAGCCAGCTTCTCATCACCTAAGAGAAACTAAGGCAAGTTAGAGAAAGGCAGAAAGACAGGAAGAGACGGCAAGGGAGAAGGAGACAGGGGGACAGGGAGGGTGGGAGGGAGAGAGGGAGAGAGGGAGAGAGGGAGAGAGGGAGAGGGGCAGGGACAGGGGGAGAGGGGCAGGGACAGGGGGAGAGCAAGAGGGGGAGAAGGTGACAAGGCCATAAAGGGAGAGAGGGGCAGTGGACAGCACACAAAGAAATGAAAAGAAGGTAAACAAAAAGCAAGGTCTTTTTTCTCATTACGGAAAGCAGAACCACGTGCTCCTCTGTCACACCAAAGAGCCAACACTGCCTCTCCATCACATGGTTATACAACATATAGCCTAGGGAACTGAAATTCAATATTAATGGACACTCCCGGAGTACACAACAATTGTGCCAGAGAAGATGACAGTCAAAATAATTCCACCACTACCTTTTCCCATGTGAACACCGTCGGGCCCCCGAATCTTTAGGAAGCCGAAACGAAACAACAGCCGCCGATGAGATTCATCAACAGCGGCCATTGTTGCGCCCAGCCTCCAATTTTTAAGGAGTAGGATATTTTCCTGTTTTCCCCACAGCAGGAAATGTAGTGGTCGTTTAACACATTAAGCACATATTAGAGAAACATTTGCATGGTCTGAATGTTTGGGTAGGTGTGGGAAATTTACCCGAATGGAATGTTCACTCTCTTGATATCTCCGGTTACCCTTTGCAAATAGAATACATCTGTAACGATCTTCCCAGTGACGATGGTCCCATCTCCAAAGAATGCCGCGTATGTACAGAAGGAAGACTCATTGAACAGTTCGCATCTCCTCAATGCATCTGCTGATTCCATCATTGACTTCCAGACCTGTTTTGCAGTGCAGTTGGCTGTACACATTGCTGAGTTTCTTTTCGTAAGATCCTGACAAGTCTCATCGCCACATGTTAGGAGTTTGCTGGTCGAGGAGCCTCCATAGTCAAAGGGCAGCGTCTATTCACAATCATCACAGTCAACACATGTGCACGCAACAGCAGCCCACACACACGCACAGACACACACACACACACACACACACACACACACACACACACACACACACACACAGAGTAGAAGTTTCTTAGAATTTATTTCCAGCGGCTTCTATTGGAGGAAGTGCAAGCCTTGCACCCAAACACTTGATAGCCAACTCTAGGAAAACTGAGAGCAGAAAGCACCAGCAAGAACCAATTCCCCATATGCCAATATCAACGGACTTTAATGCAATAAAACCGATTTGGATAAACTAACACCATCAACACCATACATGCAACTCTATGAGTCGGAGCAGGATAACTCGAATGACAGGGGCTTCATAACCGCAAGGTCACTCTCCAACACAATGTCACTCGGAAAAATTACGAACAACCCTGGTCACAGCAATGCCGGCCTTCAGAAACGAAGTGCTGTTTCCTTCCTCCCTGCAATATCAATAGGTACTACCAGGTTAGCTTCTCTCTCGCTCTCCTCATTCACCACAGGATATGCCCACCCTCCCCTGAACCTCGCTATCTCAAAGCTATGGTGTCAGCTCACCACCAATTCTAGTTATGGCTTCTCTCTCTCTCTCTCTCTCTCTCTCTCTCTCTCTCTCTCTCTCTCTCTCTCTCTCTCTCTCTCTCTCTCTCTCTCTCTCTCTCTCTCTCTCTCTCTCTCTCTCTCTCCTATCTTCCATTTTCCAGCATTACAGCAGTTCTCCAGCCGTCAAGGCAAAGTAAACCAGAATGAATGACCAAGCTGAGACAGACCAGTCTTTTGGATTGTCGCCCAGGCTTGGGCCCCCTCCGGTTGCATCCTAGAACCACAGATTTTCTGCTCTTGCGCGGTGCAGATCTGTTCCAGCCAATGTGGTTTGACCCAATGAGCCTTGGATATTTCCAGAAAAGATTCTGAGCCTTTGGATCCGTGTGGTCTGTGGCCATCGTTGACTTTTAAAAACCTGCACCCGGTAGGGTGTGATTGTTAACTTTTCAAGGACAGTTACTTCACATATAGACACCCTAGGTGCCCCGATTTGCCATCTCACCCCAGGCCTACCGACCTAGAGACCTTTTCAGAGCCCATTCATAGACTTGTGGACCGAGTTTGAAGTTCGGCTTGGACAAACACTACGAGCCTAAGCCTTATGTTGTGCTGCTTGTGACCTCGGTTCCTTGCATCACTTAACAAAGCCGCAAATTCAATATGGGAGCCTCCTGCCACTCTGCTAATAGAGTTCCTTGCCACTTTTGCAATCAGTAAGTGGCTCACAACTGTGCAACTGCAATTTCACAAGCACTTGCTCAAAATCGCACGGTTACTCCAATAATCCTTCAGCCATAGCGGAGGGAGGCATGTGTGAGTTGGTGAATGCCTAAAATTGGCAGCCAAAAATTGGAGCTTTGCAACAAGGAAATAGAATAGTGAAGGAAATGCCACCAACAGGTAAGAGTTTGTGGTAACTTTGTACAAAGATCAGCATCAGTTAAAACCATTCATGAGAGTTTGTGCAGTAAGAGTTTGTGCAAAGGTAAGCATCAGTTATATCCATTCAGGAGTACGACAGTTGGTTCAGGTGAGGCAACAGCGCCAGAGAGACAACAAACGCTTGCAGAAGAAAGAAAGTTGTAAGCAAGGCATACGTGTGAAGATTTCCCAAAATGTGCACCGAAAGGTCCTACCGCGGAGTCACTTCGCACATCCTGCTCCTTGAAGTTTTGTATGTCTGTGCCCCTTTCGGAGGTTTGCATTCAAGAGAGAGGAGAGGAACTTCGGATCTGTAAACACAACTGTTTACGGCATTCCATACACCATGCAAACTCTTACCCCCTCATGCTGCTGCATAACCTACTCCACCCTCCGTACATCCATTTAACAATTAATTACCTAGAACCTGACGATGCGCTGCGTACATGATCATCATGCCCTTTACTCACCTGTGTAGTGTCAGAACACTGAAGGCAAGGCGCGCACTGAACCCAGAGAAGATCAGACCCAGTGTTAAGCGATACCCGAAATCTTCGCGGGGGCGATCCCAGTTTGATCTCAGCCACATAATAGCTGTGTGAAACAAGACGCCAGAAAAACAGAATTGCAAGCGGAGACGAAAGCAGATGTACAGCAAAATAAGAATTGCAAGCGGAGACGAAACCAAGGACAGGATATGACACCGAGTCTTGGTCGACTTCAAACTCGATGAAGAAGACCGGTGAGTGGAATTCTACCACAAAAAGGATAACAAGTAGATTGTTGTTACCAACACCCCACAAACACAGCCAACTCGCTATGTTGGCTTCCTTTCACAACTTCCCACCGAACGATGGACGGAATGAATCTACCCATCTCTAGAATGTAAGTGCATGCTTTCCTTGACTTAGACACACAAGCACACATGTAAACATAGCTGCTGCCTCGCATTGTACTGTTTCAATTCTCTCTTGCACCAAGAAAGAGCAAGACGCAACTGTTCAATTGGCATCACGAAGGGCATTATCAATGGCCACGATTGATAGTTCTCAAACAAACCACAAAATGTGGACCATTTTCCATTTACATGTATCATCCTTGCACACCGGTTAGGACATCCCCCAAAGGATGAAATTCGTACTTCTTATTTCACTTCCATGGCCACAAGGCACCTTTTGGAAAAAGAAGCGCATGTTGTTCATTACGAGAATCTCGATGGTCCGCACCCGATACAGTAGTTGTGCATAGAGAGGCAATGAGCATGTTTCTCTCTACCCAAATAACAGACATGGAGTCACGGGGCTGCGCAAGAAATTGAGGCAGTGTGAAAATGCAGGTTTCTTAACTGTGGGCATTCACACAACTGACATGCATGCCACTGCCATGAGCTCAATGAGCAGCACGATGAAGCAGTCACGTCTGAGAAAAGAAGACTGCCAAGAAAATATGTTGCTCAACTGGCAAGGGTATCGTTCCCAGCCTACCGAATCCACAGCCTGTCTCACTGTGCCACTCTCTCATTCTCAGCGGAGAAAGCACAAAAAAAAAAACAAAAAAAACCTCCAATAAGCTAAACTGAATGATGCATGACCCCCCTCTTACGCAAGAGGCCAACCTACAACAAAGAGATCCGACAAAACTTTTATGGCACAAAAGACAACATACGCTGCTTCAGGGACATGATGGACAGGTATTTCATCGTTACGTATGAGGGAAATGGTTTTTAAAATTGTTACCCGACTCGTTTACAGCCCTCAGACCGCTAACCGTAGATGCCCAGATCATGCAAGAAGTGTCTCAGATCGGTACACACTTTCTACTCCATCCAACCGTCAACAGTCCCCAGTGCGTTGGCAGTCATTGACAAGCTCCCTGTCATTGCTACCCCCGCTGTCCCTTATCCCTACACAAACCACACACACACACACACACACACACACACACACACACACACAGAGGCAGAGATAGTATGCCAAGCGGCATCTAAAATCATCCATCCATCAACATAGAGATTCCGTCGATCAAATCTATATCCAAGCCGCCAAGGCGACAAAACCAAAGTGCTCTTTTCCTCAGACACATGCACATGGTCAAAGGCAAGCCCGAAAGACATCAGAGAATATGAACGACTCTACGTTGGAGATCAACCACATTGATAGGCAACGCACTCAGGACAAAAAGGGGAGAGGACCATTGTACAATACAAACCCGCTGTCATAGAACTATTTTCAAGATATTCAATACCCACCAACTATCCCGAGAGGAGGTTTTCCCTGCCGGTGTGGTCTCTATTCAGAACTTCAAACTAAGACATGAGAAAAATATAGGTGCACGGATGCAGACCACGCAAAAAAAATAGGTCCAAAGACGAATGCACAACAAATATGCCATGCTCAACAGGCCTGTGCTACTTGGACCAAAACAGAGCTACAAAAGGAAACACTGCACAACGAATATGCCATGCTCGATAGGCCTGTCGTACTTCGAACCGAAAAAAGAGGTACAAAGCAGAGCATTCGGAAGGGAAAGTGGCCAGCAGACAAAGAAGACTAGTCGTGGGTGAAGAGGAGATGATGCAGGCACCAGAGGAATATCAAATAAGAGTGGGTTTTAGCCATCAGATGAATGATGTGATATACAGGTGCACATACAGGAGATCTACAGATGAATGGGTGTACGGATGCAGACCGCACAAATAGGTCCAAAGGCAAATGCAGAACAAAGATGTGATGCTCATCAGGCCTGTGGTACTTCGACAAAAACAGAGCTACAAAGAAGCACTTAGGGAAAAAGTGCACGACGAATATGCCATGCTCGATAGGCCTGTCGTACTTTGAACCGAAAAAAGAGGTACAAAGCAGCATTCGGAAGGAAAAAGTCGTGGCAAAGAGGAGATGATACAGGCACCAGAGGAATCTCGAACAAGAGAGGCTTTTAGCCATCAGCTGAAACTCGAGAGAGTGCAAAGAGGGTGTAGCAAAGAAAAAGCAACTAAATAAATTACTCAAGGACTGACGCTTCTGATGATACTTGTATCAACATCCACAAGTACTTTCATAGTGCTCTAACGCCAGAGTGGAAAAGTTGTAGAATAAAATCAACAAAATGAGATATTCAACCGACAGTCAGAGAATCTTGCATACTCGAGTACTACTGTAAAATCAGCATAAACTATGGGGCCCTACACCTTACCCAAAATACAGACTCAACAACATGTCATAATTCTGGCTCTCCACGCCATCCACATTCCCCACTGAATGGGGTCAGTCCCTAGAGACCCATGCATCACTCTCAAATATACATGACATAGAGGTGCCCAAAAGTGGATCCCGTCCAAACCAATCCCGCTCTGACAGCTAGCTCAGCATTCGATGGATGAATTTGTGTCCAGCCTGGCCCAGCTTTTGACATCACCTGATCCAAATCAAATACTTTCTGACACTGGCTGACTACCGTCTTCACCCAAACACAACGCACTCTCATTTTGACTGCATTGGACCAGAAAGACGGCTTGTATACGTTCATTTTCAGCGTGCATAACATATGTTCGGGGGAAGACGGTAGCCTGATTAGCCACAATGGACCGCCTCCGCCTTTCCTGGGTAAGGGGCTCTATAACTGGCTGACTAGCCTTACTTAAACCACCAGTACTTGGCCAGCTATTGGCCGCAGAAAAAAATATAGTAGAAACGTTTCTAGTTGGATGAATTTGCGCGCTCCTGTAGTGGCCCGAAAGTTTCCTAAAATCGTGGTGCGTTAACAGGCATGACTTTAGGAAGTACTGGTGGTTTAAAATGCAACTCGTCACCTAGGAAAATTTGGGGGGCTCAGCCTACCGGACCACAATGGCTGGCAGCGCCAGCCAAAAACGAACAGGAGTACGCCACTGGCAGTTCAAAAGCTTGGCGCGCAGTACAGCGCCTGGGTGTACTGGTGGTTTGATATATCGTCATGCATAACTATGAACTAAAAGAGTGCACTTTGCGAAACAAACGGTAAAGCTAAAAAAAACAAAGGGGCACACTGAAACTATTCATTTTTTCTCGTTCTTCTTTTAACTCCCCCTTCACCGTGCCTCTCAGGTACAAGGCTTGCCACATTGCTGAAGTTGAGTGTGAGCTGCCCGCATCCCCGTGTGCCATAACGGCCCACTTGTACGCTGTGAGAAAGAGGCAGAGTAAAGGGCGAGGTCATAAACACAAGGAAGAGAGGTGACGAGAAAAGAAACAAAGAACGAAAAAGACAGAGTAAAAAAAGGCTCACGAATGACTCTGTCCTTCACGACAGAGAGGACACAATAGAATTTTAACAGAAATATTCTATATATTAAGAGAAATATTCTATATATCGTCACAAACAGAACTGCCCGGTAAAACCGTAGGCATATATACCTTATTTCTTAATTTCATTATTGATTAAATTCATCAATTATTTTTCATCAATTAATTGATCATGAAAAATTTGCATTATTTGATATTTATCTATAAACCCCTTTCATATCTCACGAGTTAATGTCAGCTTATCCATACTATTAGGTAATAATATATATAAACCCCCAGGATTTATTAATTTACAAGTACTTCCTCCACTTGTTAATGGAATGAGGAGGATGGGCACATGGAAGACCTTCAAAAAGGCTCAAGAACGAGTCCGCCCTTGACAACAGAGAGGACACACATTGTGAGGATGAGCTCGATGGGCACATGGAAGACCTCGCTGAGCATTCTCAGCACAACAATTGCCACAACACCCTAAACAAAATAGCACTCCCCATGTAACACAGCACTCCCGGGCCAGGAGAAACTGGCACCAATCACCGTGGTGAACGCAAGCTATATATCTGTACAATAGACAAAGGAGCACGTTCCATGTAACACAGCCTTTTCAGACCAGGAAAAACTGGTACCAATCACTGTGGGAAACCCAGGCTGTTCTGGGCGCCTGGGTATTCCTTTTCCAGCTCCGAACATACCGGGGCCCAGACAAAACGGAACCCAGACGCTGGTTTTGTTCCATTCCACAAGCTTGTTTGACATGGCACACATCTTTCCTTCTCTTGGCGCAGTTTCTGCTCAGTGCTTGCCGCTTTTTGTCTCCCATATCGTCGTCTTTGATGCCGCAGTTTCTCTGGGGTCCCAAGGGTACTGGAATCAACCCCTGTTTTTTGTTGGGTGCGGCGCTTGCTTTTTTTTTTGTTTGACACAGCATGTGCACTGCTTTTGATGTGGTATGCACATGCCACTTTCTGTCTCACAAGTATTTCACTCCATTTTCTTTTATGAGTTCGACAGGTTACCCTCACTTTTCTGTTCCACATGGCACACTCACTGCTTTTTCGCCTCAGCCCCCCACACATGCACACACACAAAGACAAGATTTTTTTGGTTCAACGTCGCACGCTTACACTTTTTCATCGGCAGTACAAAGTACCGGCTAAACCACTGCACAGAAACACACATGTACAGAAACACACATGCACAGACAGACACATGCACTTGCACGCACACACGCACAACACACATGCACTCCCGCGCACACACACACACGGAAACTCCAAGACCTTATATACCACTCCCTCCATCCTCAAACTCCAG